CCCCCTGCTGGCAATGAGGGGCGTCCCTCTGATCCAATTCCTTTCGACAAAGGGCCGCTCCAAGGACCCCCGCGCCCTTCCACAAGGACGTCCAGCAGAGGCCGGGCCCTGGCCGTGGGACGACTATAACATCTAAACGCATCACAATTGCAAAATGAACGCCCACCGCTTGGCTTGGGTGGCCCGGGTGGTGGGCAGGGTGGGACGGAGGTTGGACCCAACTCGTCCGAGAGTAAGTGGGAGTCGAGGCGGTCCGTTTATCGGCGGGGCGTGGACCGAAGGGTACTTCACGATAAATTCAGGCGTACACCGACTTTACAGTTTTTCTTAATTTTTCTTGATTTTCCCAAAAAGGAATTCCTGATATTTTCCTGATTATATTTTCTTATATTTTTTTAGACTTTATTGACTTTTTCTCGTTGTTTAAAGGGTGTGTTCAGTGATGTTTTTGTGAGTGGAGTACCCCTCGGCGTGGACCCCGCGGGGGCCCCGTCGTCGCGAGTGTCACATGGCGCACACGGGGGGCGCCGCTCGGCCCCGGCGCGTCCCTTCTTCTCACACGCTCACGCGCTGGGCGCCGCACTGCGCCACACTGCAGTGCGACACGCCGCGTTGACACGGCCCGAGTAATTAGACATGCTAATGGAGCCCCGAGCCCCGGCCCAGCAGCGCCATGGACCGTCATCGCCCGTATTCATAGCCGGCCAATCACCGTCGTCTGAGGTGGGGAGGCGCGCGGGCCGGGCAAGGGGTGGCGTGGCGTGGCGTGGCGTGGCGCGCCTTGGAAAGGGGACCACGCCGCCGTCAAACAAATTGGCCAAAACATCCTTTCAATCGCGAAAGCTGAAAGGCGAAGAGGAAGGGGGCGGGGGGCCGTTAGGTTATACGCCCCTGGGTCGGCCTTCGTCGTCACGTGGCCGCCGCCCAGCCGCGGTGGGATCACTTTATTCGCGCACAATGCTTGATTCTGTTGCAAGGAGCTCACCCTGGAGGGCCTCGACTCCTCCGCCCGTCGCGTCGGCGGCCGAATCCTTTTGCCGAGTTCAGCTAGCAGTCCCGGGCCGGTCCCGCGCGGGACATGAGGTCAGTGACCATGAGGCACGCGGGGCCCCACCTGGACACGCCCCCGCAGCGCCAAGGACCGGCACGGGCGGCGGTTGGAGCGGCCGTAGCAGGGCAGCCTCAAGGAGAATCTCTAAAAAGGCGTGGGTGGCTGGCAGGGCGGGCGAACGAAGCGGGCCGTTTGGCCGTTCGGTCCAGATTCGTCTTGTTAGCGTCGTGCTGGTCGTGCGTGTGTGCGGAGGCCCACGCGTGCCGTGGCAGCACATGCCCGTCCTCGTCGTCGCTCTCAGCTAGTTGTTCCAGCGGCAAACACGGCGGCCAGGGCCCGGGCTTGTCGGCCGAGCCTCCACCGCCTCGTGCGTGTGTGTGACTGGCGTGGCCTTGACCTGAACCCTTCTCCGCCCTGCCCGACGTACACGACCTATATCTCCACCGCCCGTTCGGCGTCCGGCCCGCCTGCCCAGCCCAGCCTCTTCGGTGCCATGAGATGTCGGTGCCCACCCTGCCCCCGGTGGTCCCCAGTACTGTGGTTCCCACGGGCCGCCGGGCCGCCGGCGGCAGCGGCTTTCTTCGAGCTTACTGATAAAAACACTATCTCCACACACTTGAACTGCCGAGGGAGCAGATGCAGCTCAGCTCAGCCCGAGGCTGAGGCCCCGCCGCGGCGCAAGGTCGGGGGACGCCGAGGGACGCCGGGTGTAAGGCTTGATGTGCTGGGCTGCTATCCGTGTTGTGCCCGGGTGACACCGGGACCGCGAGCTGGTCAAGAAGTCCCCTGTCCTGCCTCGGCCTAGCAACAGGCGCTGCTGCTGCTGCTGCAGCAATGTGCACCACACTCGGTAGCCGGCTGCGGGACACACATCTGCATGGATATGATGTGCCATTGGCTGCCGGCCAGGCGCATCAGATCCAAACGGAGATGAGCCTTTCGGACCGGGCCGGGATGATATAGAGCAGCACAAGTCGGCGAGTCTCGTCTTTCATCCTCCACTCCAGCGGCGCACCTCGTCGGCGTGATAGTGTCGCGCGTGCGAGTGCAAGCGACTCGAAGCGACTGGCGTCCTGGCCTGGGCTGGGTGGTGACGGCTGGCATCCTTGACCGAGCAGCCCAGGCGTGCTCATTAATAAAACGGAAAGCTTTGTGCCGATTTGGGCCAAAGTCACGGCTGGGCCAGAGCAGGGGCGCCCGAGCAAGTGTGCAGGTGGCGGAAATAGGGTCAGCGCGGCGGTGTGTGTGTACTGTGTGGCGCGTGTACACTGAACCTTGCCAGGAGAGGGCCGTACGTATACGCCACCCCGGGCAAAGGCACCATAGGCCGCTGTGCAGCGGGCACAATCGGGACAGTTTATTATCGTCTTCGTTGCTCGTCGAGATTATCAAGCAAAGCCTACTCGGCTGATTTGGGGCAGTCGTAAGCAGGGGTCCGGTTGTCCCGTGGTGTCCCCGGGTGTCCCCGCCCCACGTATGTCTTGGTGTCTTGCCATAGGGGATCGTCTAGAAAGCACGCCCGTTTATTCTCAGATTCATTCGGCTTATTACGGGAGCTCGGCGCCTGTGAGACTCAAGGTAGGCCAGCCCGCAGTACACGCATGCACTGCAGGCTACATGTTATCTACCTACCAGGCGCTTTGAGAGCTTGCAGGCCGGTTCGTAACGATGAATGCCGGACATACTTCCTGGGAGGCCCCGTATCCAAAGGGGAGCTCTTTTTCTTTCGTACTTGAAGAGCATTTCTAAAATCAGGGAGAGTTTTCTAGTTTTACGAAAATTCAGGGAGAATCGTCTCAGCTCACGCGTCTCTTTGCACGCGCCACTCCAGTAAGCTCTCCGCATAGTTTCGCCTATTTCTGTTTGTTTACGCGGCTGGCCCTCATCTCGATACCGCCTCTAACAATAGTACATGAGTAACCCCGTCGGTCCGCAAACAAGGCAGAAGAGAGGAGGCGACGATCTCCAAAAAGAAAAGAAAAGAAAGAGGGAAATGAGAAAAAAATAAGTAAATTACAAAACGTTGAGCAGAGAAAGAGATAGTGTTACGCCACGCGATACGAGAGCGCCGCGCCGCATTGTCTCGCTGGGCCCGCCCCGCCGGACCCGCCCCCGCATGCCGGGGTGGTTAGGTTAGGCGGGCCCACGCAGCCCTCTGCGCTGCCCTGCCGAGCCGAGTTCACCCACAATTGCTTTATTGGCTGAGCCGAGTTTGCGGCTGGGCCATGATTGGTGCCATTATTATGGTCCGGGCCAAGAGACGCCCTGTCCATTATTTGCGTGCGCGTGCCTCGGGGCTCAACCCAACCTAACCCAAACTAACCCTTTAATGAGCACGAAGCGGAACCCCATTCACGCGACTCGATCAATGTCGCACCGGTGATTCTGTCTGTATACCTCTCCTCCGTAGGGTCGCATACTTTCGCTATTGGCGTTCGTTTGTGACGTGCTCTGCTGTGTCGCGTCACGGTGGCAAGAAGGGAGTGACTTGCAAATCACGTGAGTGTGAGTATGTGATCACCACCTCCAAAATGTAAACCATGGTGATCACATACTCACGAGGTTTGGCCCGTCGGCCGCTCTCGGGGCGCCTGAACTCGTTTTAGACATGACATGAAGCTTCATGTAGAGTAGCTTGTTTTCGATGACATAAGCGAGGGCTATAATCTTTCGCCCTGCAGTATTTGGTATTTGAACCTTGACTGCTACCGCCTGTTTTTGGTGCAGATAAGGCTGTTCTGCATGCTCGCGTGAGTTTGCTCGCCGCCCCCGTAAGCGTAAGGTAGGCTGTGGCGCTCAACGGATTCAGAAGTGACGGAATGTCGTGTCAACAGTCAGCCGCTCATGGGGAGCGCACTACGTTCTCCCCATGTGGAGTTTGCCCTGATCGTCGACGATAGAGCAAAGCGCTTGGATGTCTTATACAGTTCTTCAATTTTTCCTCTTCGCTTTAATCTATATTTTCTCACTGTCGAGACTGTGTCGAGAGAGGTCGGCCGGCAGTGCAATGTCATGAACTCGACTTGACACGACTCAAATCGGACCTATGTGCAATTCGGTCGATCTTCCAAACGGGAAGAGAACGTTATAAGCGGCCGTACGGGGAGGGGTGGGGAGGGTGGGGGAAGGGGGGAGAAAGATAGAATCGCCGTCGTGGGTCGTACGCCTGATAAAAGGGGCGCAATGAAGTAAGAGATGGATGAAAACAGCTCTCTAGCCCGGCCGCCGCCACCGGCCACTCGCCCGGGTGTACAGTCCACCCCGGGAGTATAGCCGCCAGAGGCGACTGCCTTTCTGCAGTATTTCGCTCAGTGCGAACTTTGTTCCGCTTAAAAGATAACTCTTACGTTAACGGCGTCGGAAGCCCCGTTCTATCATAACTCTTCCGACATGCAACGACGAGCATTTGCACGACACGAAGCTTTTCTTACTTCTTGTTGGAGGTGTGGGGGCAGGGGGGGCAGTACACGGTGGCTGATTCGCCCGCCCGCTTCCCGCCGCCACACTGCACGGCATGCACGCGTGCGGGCGGGTTGCCTATACTCGCTCTGCCCACGAAATGCGGCACAAGACCGCGATCGAATCGAGCTAAATATAGATCCGTGGGTCACGGACCAGCTTCTGTGCGTCTGCCCTGGTTAGTTCGAATGCGTTTACACGAGTGCGAGTGACTGCGCCCATTAGTACAAGTGTGCCCATCAGAGTGCGAGTGACTTTGCACCCATGGGCGCAATTATTGAGTGCGAATGAGTGGGTCCATCGAGTGCGAGTGCGTCCACGCGACGGAATGAG